CCACAGAGCTCTCTGGAGGGGAAAAGAAAAATTTTAAATCCTATACCCAGTTGTAGTTTAGACACCCGGCACAGTGCACAAGACCCTCACGTATATGGGAGGTCAATAGTCAGCTCTCTTCTATGGCAAAGGCAGGGCCAAGGGGTCCTGCAGGCAGGTCTAGGCCTCCCCCTGTGGACCCAGGCTTCCAGCCCTCCCCACAGCCCTGCCTCCTGCCTCCTGCCAGTGTGTACAGTGCATGCTGGCCCTGAGAGCAGCGGTGGGACGAGTGTGAATAAGTGTGAATCACTGCACCAGGACAAAGAGAACAATGCGAGGCGCAGTCAGATTGTACACCAGTGTTGCAGGGGACCAGACCCCCTCAGAGGGTAACAGGTCCAGAAATAACAGTCTCCTGTGTTTTTCCTGACATTCCAGCTCAGAGCCTGGGCAAGAGGCAGCCATTCCTTGCTGTTTTCAAGTGCTTCTCTTGGTCCACCTTCTCCATTTGGTTGCAGGGGGTCACAAAGCCCTGGAAGGATTTTCCAAGGGAAGCAGAGCCAGGCAGGCCTATTTGTGCAGCATGAGGCCCAAGGAGTGGCCAGGAGAGTCTGATTTTTGTTCTGTTGGAAGAGAGAACTACCTAGCAGCCAGCATTGCCCAGTGGTACGAATGCCTGTGAGGTGGTAAGCTCTGACCTGAGACAGAGCTCTGGGATTTTAGGGCCCTGTGTGTTCTGACCTGTTACTTGGTCGTTTCCAGTGTCAGGGTGGGAAGAAGCTGGCAGGGGAGGCAGAACCGCCCAAGAGACTCTCCTCTCGGAACTTAGTCTTTCCAGGGCCCTCGGCTGTGGGGCGGGAGGGAAAGTGGGTAGAGACCCTTATCAGGTCATCTCCCAAGTCCCCTCAGCCCTGGGGTCCAGTTTTTCTCACAGAGGCTCCCCAGATCCCACGTCCGGGCCCCTGGCTGCGTCACCAGGAGGTCAAAGGAAGTGGAGCAAGGAGACACGGAGGGAAGGGTTGCGCGGTACTTGCCCTTTCCCAGTGGGGCAGACCCACGACGTCAGGAGATACATAAATCCAACTGGAGCCTGGCATTTGCATTTCTTTTCAAATCCCATGGCTGGGCGTGTGCAGTGGGGGCAGGGACTTGGTGGGGGGTGGGGCGGTGTCTCTAGACAAGGGATGCTCAGGGTTTCTCTAAAAATGGCCCCAAATCCCATTTTGCTGTACGATGACCCTGAGGAGATTCAGTGTTAGACCAAGTCTGAGAGTGGGCAGCAGAGGACAAGGCTGGGGGAGAGAATGCTGGTCACAGGAAAAGCGTGATTTATGCCGCTTTGAAACAGGCATGGATTTATGCCCGGCCATCCTTCGTTTCGAGGAGAACAGTTGCCATGGTCACCGCCCTAGGGAAGGAGGTAAAAAGGTGGGAATTGGACTTACTGAGGCTTGGAGTTGGGGAGCGAAACATCTCTGGCCCAGTCCTGCTTCTAGTCATAAAAAGGAAATGGGGGAGCCGGAGAAAATATTAAAAAATTGACGTGTCTTTGTTCCACCTGTGCCCCGCCCCACATCACGCTTAGGCTCCAGCTGGCTCCTCCAAGGAATTTTTCAATTAGATGGGGGCACTGAGCTCAGCAGAGAGAGCAGATGGGGCCTTGAAAGGAAAAGAAAGACCCAGAATGCAGTTTAATAAGCAGCCAGGGCTGCCTCGTGTGGGCGGAGCTTCTGGAAGGAGTAACGACATGGAGGACTCGGGGAGGCACTGGGGCTGGGACAGGAGAAGCTGGTGCCCGAGCTCTCAGCGCACTCAGAAAGTCTCGGGAGGGTGAATGGGAGTCCCCGGTGCCAGCAGCGTTCGTAGTCCCTCACAGTCTCCAACCTGCCCTGCGCCCTCCCTCCAGTCCAGGGGCTGGGTTCAGAGCCAGGCTGGGAGCATCCTGAAACCAAAGACGTGGTCCAAGAACTGCAAAGCCCAAAGTCTCACCGGCAGTAGTCCTGGGACAAGGAGCATGGGACAGGCAGACCCAGCTCTCTTCCCGCTACCTGCCGAGTCAGCCAGAATGGACATCCTGGAGGGACTTGGGTTGCAGTGGGCACTGATAAGGCCCACAATGCAGTTAGAAGGGCCCATCCCCCCCCACAGGGTCACCCAGACACATGTCTGTGGACATGTGCAGTTTCTCACGGTCACCCCTCTCACATACCCACAGGGTGCCTCTCATGCCAGAGAACACATTTCTCTCTCCTGCCCCCTGAAGCGACATGCATGTGCTCTCGCGTGCTCCCACCTCCTATGTGTCTAACCTAGACTCCGAGGAAGGGTGAGGGAGGCCATGGGGAACTTTGTAAACTGAGGCTGGCTAAGGGTGCATTTCACACACCCATCGGCCTCTTCCCACCACACAGTCTCCACCAAGGAATGACTGGTCCAGGGAGCAGGCGATAATTCACTTAGTGAAATGGGTGTTGGGTTTACGCTCCCTCTCCCTGAGGCAGAGACACCCCAGGGTGCTTGAAGGGATGCAGTGCCCTTCCAAATAAAAACAGCCCCCCGTGTCCTGCCATGCTATGACGTGCTCACAGCAGTATGGATAATTTGAGAGGTCCTGGGCACAGTTTCAGGGTAGAGATAGGCTGGAACAGGTTGTCATGTTCCCATGGCAGCCTATCTCATTGACATAGCAACAATCTATGGAGCGCTGGTTTCCGTGATTGGTGGAATACTGTGGTACTTGACAGGATGGTAAGTGTTCCCCATAACCCTTATGGGGAAGAACGTTTTCATCCTAGACCATGCAGAAGTAGCCTGATGCTGTCAAGTAACAGCTGAATTTTCTTGTGGGCAGGGGGCGGAATTTTCTGGAGTGTCCCTACTGACAAACTCTATTCTTCCCTCCAGAAATTCCAACTCCCCAACTATCAAGGCTGGCAGAAATGTCCCCACAAGGCAGACATGCCTTTCCTGATGCCCACCACGGCTGAGATGGAAACCCTGCCATATCAGAGAGGCGTGACAGTGCAGTGGGGGAGCCCAGCTCTGGCATCAGAACCCTGAGTAGGCTTGTCTCTCACTGGCTATGTGTCTTGTGTGAGTGATCTTTCTGAACCTCAGGGTTTTCATCTGTGAAATGGGTATACCATGCCCAGCTCCCTGGGTGGTTACAAGCATGCAGAAGAGTGAGCGATATGTGTAAAGTACTTGACCCATCCAGGGTCCCTGTGGGGAGAGGGTTGGATAGCGCAGGTCACTGCTGACACCCCTTGCACACAGAATGGTACTTCAGTGTCTTGGGGCTGAGCACCCGACACAGATCTGACTGTGAAGATGGGGTGACATTTAAGCTTCAGCGGAGAGGGCAGCGGTTGGCATCGTCTTTCAGATCAAGCTGTCCAGCTGGTTGAAAACCTCCCCGGGGAAGGCGGAGGCACTCAAGCCATCTGCCTCCTGCTGGCCCAGCTCAGGGCTCTACTCAGTGTGGGCTGCGGCTCATGCCCCTCTGCAAGTCTAAGAACGAAGAGGATAGCATTTAGAAAATTTTATAGAAACTCAACTTTGGGGGGGGTCACTGTTCAAAAATTTTTTTTTTTGGTTGCTTAACCCTTCCCTCCCGTCCCCACACCTCATACCCCTCCCCCAAGAATGGAAGCCTCCTGGCATTTTGCAGGTCCTGGCAAAAAGGCACAGGCCCTGGGAACGGCAGCCCCTAGACACTGGAGCCTGTCCTGCCAACCCCTCCTCCCGTGGTCAGGCTCTTCCAGTCCATCTGCCTGCCCACAGACCCAGGAGGAGAAGGCTTTGAGCGAGACCATGACTGTTCCGCAAACCCAAGACCTTATAGGCACTGTCTTCAAGGGGCTCCCCTTGGCTTCAGAAGTGTCCTGGGGGCAGAGCAGGCTGACTTGGGATGAAGCTGGGCAAGGCACCCACCACCCAGAGGGCCTCCTGGGTCAGAGGGGGCTGGCTGTCCCCACAGAGCAAGATGTAGGTCTTCAGTGGAGGGGTGACAGGTCCTAGGTTGGAACTGGGGGCTTGGGGCAGCATGAGGGTGCTGCCAGGAGGGCTGTTTCCCCACAAGCACAGTTGATAATGAGCTGTGAGGACAGCCTTTTGATGGTGGGCCTGCTTCTCACTTGAACTGCTGTCCAGATCTGTCTTAAGGCCCATGCCTTTGGGGCCGGCTCTCTGGTTCCTGGGGTCTTCTGATGAGGCCATTGCTGCTGCCACTGTGCCTGGTCTGGCCTGGCCTAGTGCTGGTAGGAAGAACAACAGTTTTTGGCAGCCTCTTCTAAGATGTCATTCCCCATCCAAGGACCAGATCTTTGATATTTACAGGATCAGATCCCCTGAGTGGCTTCCACTGGCCTGGGGCAATTACGGGGTTCCTTTCCATCAGCAAGACTGTTGTTGGGTCTTTGGGAAATAGGGCTTCCACCATGCAGACACTGCTTCCTCCAACTCCAGCTGCTTCCTGACCCAGCACAGGCCTTGGAACCTTCTCATCCGGGCCTCAGTTTCCCAAAACCTCAGTCATTATCTGGCTGCATCACCAATTTTGTTTTGCTATGTTCTTTTCCTATGGAATTTATGGAATACTACTTACGTAGTAAGGGGGAACCTAAATAGCAAACAGTTATTTATCATAGTTCTGGGTTTTGGGAAGTCCAAGATCAAGACATGTGGGCTAGAAATGTGATATTGCTGAAACAAACAACATCTAATTTGGGCTTTTCTTTAGTTGGGGTTTTTTTTTTTTTGCCTTTTTAGAGAGAGAGAGAGAGAGAGAGAGAGAGAGAGAGTGTGTGTGTGTGTGTGTGTGTGTGTGTGTGTGTGAAGTACTGACCTGCCCTGGGAAAAACACAACCCGGTTCTTCACCACCTCTAGTGTGAAAACTGCTGCCCTCGATAATATTAAAAGCATCTCAGAACCATCTAAAGAGCCATTTGAGGAGAGAAGGGAAACAGTCTTATCAGCACTGCTTGCAAAAATTAACCACGAATCTCACATAGGTGGGCAAGTTGGTGGCATTTCCTTTATTGATTCGGCACTGGAAACTCCAGGCCCCTTCCCAGTGCCTGCCCCCTTCTCCCACCCTGCGTGCCCAGAGTCCCTGGCAGCCCAGGGCTGGAAGTCCCTTGTCTGCGGGCAACGTTCCAGGACGCTGACCTCCGCCTGCCATAGCGCAGTCCGAAGGAGTTCCAGTTGTAGGCAGGCAGGTCCTTCTCCCGCTGCACCAGCATTGCACCCCACAGGGCTGGGATCAGGCGACTGCGGGGTGCGCACGAGGCTGGCTTCTGGGACCCCACCTCACTCTCTCCGGCTGTGCAGCGTGGGCTCTGCTCCCAGGCAGCCAGAAGCGGCAGGGGGCTGTGCTGCTGGCCTAGGACAGAGCCAAAGAGTGAGACCAAGCCAGGAGAGCCATCTTGAACACCTGCCCAGAGCCCCATCCTGTGCTTCCATTTGTTCCTTGGCCTCTGGGAGACTCAGAGCTCAGTGCCAGCGGAGACCACCAGCATCTGAGCTTGCTGGTTAGGCCATTTGTTCCCCCTGCTTTCAATGCAGCTTTGATTGCAAATGTTTCCCAGAATTATCTTCACTATCTTTTATATGAAATTACTTCCTGCCCTGACCGGCGTGGCTCGGTTGGTTGGGCATCCACCCACAAAGGAAAAGGTCGCCAGTTTGGTTCCTGGTCAGGGCATGTGCCTGGATGGCTGGTTGAGTGCCTGGCCAGGTGTGAGAGGCATGTGACTGGTGTTTCTCTGTCACGGCAATATTTCTCTCCCCTCTTTCTTCCTCCCTTCCCTCTCTCCAAAAATAAATACATGAAATCTTTTTAAAAAAGAAGTTACTTCCTTTTAGGAATCAAACAAGCTAGAGAGAAATAAAGAAAACTGAGATATTTGCTAGAAGTTCAGCTCGGCTCACTGCCTGGCCTTCTGCCGGTGTCTGCATCGGGCCGCTCAGCGGGACTGTGCGCCCTCGGCAGGCGGGGCCTGTCGGTTCATCCCTGTCTCTCAGAGCGCTGGACGCAGGGCCTCACACGTCAGAGGCCTCAGTAAACGCTCGTTAACTGTACGAAAGCTAACGAAATCTTGTAGTTACAGAAACCAAGAAAGTAAAGCTAAGATCACTGTGCTCCCACAACCCCCAATAACTGTAGCCCCCTAAATAAGCTATATAAGGACTCAGTGAAAAACAGGAAATTATCAGGGTCACCCTAACCAGTTCACTTCCACATTTTGGATATAATCTCTTATCTTTATACTGAGGGCTAACAAGGCTAATTTGGAAGGCATTCCACATACAAGACTCACTAAGTATACTATCGTTTTGGCAGTAAAATCGTGCAGTGAGCTCTGAGTACACAGTGACCCCAGCCAATTGTGGCAGGACATTATCGGAAATGAGGCCCAGTGTGTGAGTGGGTGCGTGTTGCAGGGGCGGTTGGCTTTGAGACCCACTCCTCAATGCCCTGGCATACTTTGGAGAAGAAGGGTGTGGGTATGGCGCAGAATTCACGACAGTCTTCCTAGGAGGGCACTCTCATGCCACTTGGGGCCTGGCTGAGATGGAAAGGGTCGATGGTTTCATTCCCAGTCATACCCCGCTCTCCCAGCGTAGAAGCACTTCTGGGGCCGCCTTTTGTGGCCTCATCTAAAGCCTTTTGCCAAAACACAGTCAGCAAACGCAATGTCCCTGGAGAAGTGGTGAGGTCATTTTCACCCGGAAAGGACATCTGATCCCAGGAGAGAAAACACTCTTGGCAAAGGACACTGGGGGCCATGTTTTCTTTGTTCTGGAATATTTTATGGGCACAGTGACACCACATGTGCAGATATGCTCCGCTCCCGGTCCCGTAGCCAAAGGAGCTGCAGTCCCGGAGACTAAGCCACGCTTCTAGTTTGCCCAGAAAACTGAACCCAGCAGAGTTACATACCCAGAGCTCGGACTTGAGGGCAGCGCCGTTCTCTCTGGAGCCACTCAGGGACACCCTCTCGGGGAGCTCTCGTGCTCATGCTGGCCTTCTGCAGCATTTGACTGAGCGACTGGGGAGCATCTTTACATCTCGGGGCCTCAGTTTCTCTGGCTCATCAGTGCCATCACAAGCCGATAAGTTTGACAGGATCTGTCCTTTTGTTTAGGTTCTGTTTTTTCAAACGCCTCATAATGGGACTGAGGACACTGACGAAAGAAACTTGCATAGTAAATTCCTCCCCAACAAATCTGCTCAGAGAAGTGATCGACATGGAGCAGAGCACACACTGTGAGAAAACCAGGAAGGAGCATGGTGGTCGGCAAGCACCTGAACCTGGGGGAGCCTTCTGTGGCCCATAGCAGGTAGAACCTATAAGGTTAATGGGGCCACCAAATGAGTCGCATGTTCCAATTTTGGGTTTCCATTAAATACATTGCTTAACCCACATCGACCCTCTAGCCATAATCTGAAAAATGTGGTAAATTTTGTTTTGAAACAACTCACTTGCTCCCTTCCGCCCTGTTTCCCAGACAACACATACCGGTGGATCTAGGGTTCTCCACGGGCGCCACCTTTTCTAAGGTTTCCCTGAAGGAGACAGCACAGAGGAACAGCATCAGCTGCCAAGAAACCAGTAGGCTCATCCTGGTGAGAAGGCGCAGGTCCTAGAAGGGTCCTGGAGCCAAGACAGAGAGAGGGAAGCAGGAGCAGATCAGGCCCAGGCCCAGGCTGGGACACAGCGCAGTGTGAAGGGAGGAGCTGCCCCTGCCCTTGGAGGCCCCAGTGGAGGGATGAGTCTGGACAGACATATGGTGGAGATGGGACTGAGACCACTTGCGCAGCATAGTCAAAGCCGACCTCATGCTAGGTGAGGGTCATCAGGGAGGGCTTCCTGGAGGCCAGTCAGGATGGGGAAGAAGGAGGGGTCCCTCTTGGTGAGAGGGGCAGGACTTCTCAGGTTAGAAATAGCCAGAATTCTGAATCTCAGGGTTGCATGGGAGGAGTGTTGGAGAAATGAGCAGTGAGATAGCACTTGTGGGAGTGAGCAGGGAGGGCTGAGGGGAAGTGGGGCAAGAGGTTCCACCAGGTGGAGGATGCTGAGACACGTCCTCCCCTCTGCTGGGCTCTGCATAAATCCCTGACTTTCTGGGCTCCACCCTCCCCGGGGGGCTGTGCCTTCACTAACCTGGCCCAGTTCCTTTCTGCTATAATAGAAACTCAGTTCTTTTCCTTTTTCATGAAAAAAAGGAAGAAAGGCAATGATCTTGCTCTCTGTGTAGCCTTTGACAGTCTGAGGACCATCGTTACATTGTCTTATTGCCCATAATTTAGGGAAGAAAAAAAACCTTTTCCTGATATGTCAGGTCACTTGTCTCCATGTTTTGTTCGCTGTGGGCTCTGAGAGGTTATAAATCGAACTGACCTTATCATTTTGGCTGTGGAGATGGGATCTGCATACCCTGACCCTCACTTCAACCCCTTCCCTTACCCTTCCCTGTCCCGCTCCCATCTCTTCCAGCTCCCAAGTCTAATTTCTCTTCAAAAAAGCTGTCAGACACTTGCAGATTGTCCAACAAACGTGATTAAAAGCAAATGATGGGGAGGCAGGAGAGCTGCAGGTGGAGCCGAAAGGGCGTGGACGCTGGCTCTGAAGGCCGGGGCCACTCCGGGGTCAGGCGAGGGGCCGGCGGGCGGTCAGGACCTCCACGTGTGCCCTTCAGCCCCTCCGTCCCTCTGCTCTTGCGCCCGTGCCCCGGTCCCCTCCTGCTCCCTTCAGGATCCAGGCATGGGGTGAAGGGAGAGAACCCTGAAGTGGGGTCAGAAGTTCTTGGACCTGGCCCCAGCTCTGCCGGCCCTCTCCGTGAGACAGGATTGAGTCACTCCCATCTCTGGGGCTTGGTGCTCCACCTGTAAAGTGAGACCATTGGGTCAGAGTGGCCACCAGCTGTCCCCGCAGATGGCCATTTATCCTTGCAGACTTTGATTCTGTGACACCCTGAACCCCGGACCACAGCTTTCTGCACCTGCGTTAAGGTAGGGCAGAGAGTAGAGGTGGGTTCCAGAGAGTAGATTCACTGGAAAGAAGAGCATAAAATCACTTTTGTGGTTTTGAACTGTGCACGCACAGTTTAATTTGGAAATTACTCCTTGAGTGCTGCCTGGGTGCTGCGTTGGGTGCTAGGGTGCACAGGTGCTAAGACACAGGGCTGCTGTCAGCTGCTCAGCCCTCATCTCAAGTCTAGCACAAAAAATTGAGTCCTAAGCAGGCCATGTACAAATAACACCATCCCTGGCTGGTGTAGCTCAGTGGATTGAGTGCGGGCCTGCGAAGCACAGGGTTGCTGGTTCGATTCCCGGTCAGGGCACATGCCTGGGTTGCGGGCCAGGTCCCCAGCAGGGGACACATGAGAGGCACCCACACACTGATGTTTCTCTTCCACTCTTTCTCCTTCCCTTACCCTCTCTCTAAATATAAATAAATAAAATATTTTTAAAAAGACAGGCTAAAGGTGTGTGAGTACGCAGGGGTCTTTGGAGACTATGGGAGCCTGTCCTGGAGGGTCCAGGCCTGGAGGGTCCAGGTGGGTTTTCTGCAGGGGGTGGACCCTGAGCTGAGCTTCTGAGCAGGAGTCAGGCAGCTGAATAAAGGCTTATACGGAAGGCAGGAGGCCAGGCAGCGCTGGGTGTGGAGGGAGCTGCAGGCCCTGTAGCCTGCCAGCAGGGTGGGCTTCACTGGAGAGAGTGATGGGGCCACACAGGGGCTTCACCCCAGGGGGTCTGAGACAGAGAGAAATGTGTGTAGACTTGCATTTCAGATGGAGCATTCCGGCTGCTCTGCAAAAGCAGGAGGGTAAGTGAGGAAAGGAGCGGTATGTAGGGTGTGTGGCTGGAAGGCAGGGCCCCTCTGTGCTCCTCTTGCCTCACCCTGTGACCTCCTCCCCATCGTAGGCAGCACTTGCCGTGGCGCCATGTGAGAGGCGTGATTTTCCCCACCACACAGACACACACACACACAGACACACACACATGCCTTCTCCCAACTCCTAACAGATGTGGTAGAAATGAACTGCTTAGAAAAGAATCGTCAGCTTCCAAGGGGCCACACTGGCTGTCGTGCTGTGGGTAATTTTTGTGGCTCCCCTATCTCAGGGGCTTTTGTGCCCAGTAACAGAGGAATTTCAGGCATGGCCAAAAAGCTTTTGAAGTGGGGTGTCTTCCTTCCTGGGGCGGGTTCGTTCTAGGGTGACCTTCTTAGTGCAGGGGTCTAGCAGGGTGTGAGGGGCTCTTTGGTGGGGTTTGTATTTGCCAGCCATGAGTTGGAAGAACTGCTCGGAGGCCACCCACTGAGCTCATGAGCCCTGAGTGGTTCCCCAGCTCCCTCTTAAAGTTCCCGTGGCTTCTAATGCCAGCCACAAAGTTCATTCAATAATTGCAATGAATCGCATTTCATTCATTGCAGTTATTCCTGCCACAATAAAAGGAGTCCTTGAGAGGGTCCTGACTTCACAAATATAATGCAAGTCAATGTATTTATCCAGATGCCCCAGAATAATCTATCTGGCCGCCTGACCAGGCAGGCCCCTTGGCCTGCCTGGGATACAACAGTCTCGGAACTAAGTTCCTGCTCCCACCGGGGAAGCCTCCCTGGGCCTGCGCAGACCACCCTCCCCAAGTGTGGATGCCACAGTGTACCTACCTGGCTCTGCCTTGGGTCCCGTCCGGGGTCCTGGCAGGGTGGCTGCTCCGCAGGGTCTCTGGTGATGACACTACTTAGGTGGGTGAACACCCGTAGGGAGGGAGCTCTCCGTGCTCTTGACAGCTCTCTGCTCACGTCCCTGGCCCTTTTATGAAGCCCAGGGTGACGTCTCCGGGCATAGGCCTCTCCCGTCTCCCTCTCCCTCCTCCTGCAGGGAGACCGCTGTCTCCCGCCTCCTGGCTCTCGTGACTGAAAGCAGCCTCTTCTTCCCTCCAGAATCCTCCGAGGCCGGCTTTCTGAGTTCTTTCTGTTCTCCCGGCCGCCCCAGACCACACAGTAGAAGACCGACTATGCTCCAATCAATGTGGAAAAGGACTATTTGAGGAAGAGTGTGGTGAGGGGTCAGTGTGAACCAGTCCCCCTCCAGACAACAGCCACCAATATACCCAGTGTGCAGTGAGCATCAGGAAAGGGATGAGGGAGAGGAGAAGGCCACAGTGGGACCCAGGAGCTCTGGGTTCCTCACTTGTGCCCAGCTCAGACCAGAAGGGGGCTCCTGAGCTGTAATCTGTAATGGGTGTGCCTTCCTTTTTCCTCCTTTCCTTCCCCAGACAGTTACTGAGCACTTACTCCATGCAGGGCTCTGAGGTAAAGACAACATGGTCAGGTGGGTGAGCCGTATCTGCAAGTAGCTATCTAAGAAAGCAGGATCCAGTGGTAGCTCTAGAAGGTGGATGTACCTGGGCAGTGCTAAAGTGACTTTCAGGCAATGGCATGTCGGAAGGTGCTACTCCCTCCTTTGCACCTTCAGCACCCATGATCACAGCTTTTTATAATTGCTGTGTACCCTGTGTTAAAGGTAGGGACTGATCTCTTTCCCTTTGTGCCCTCAGCACCCACTTTATTGCTCAGTACAGACATAGAGGGCCCTCAAAGATATTTACTAGATGTATCCATTGCAATAGACTCTTGTCTTTTTCTTGGGCCTGAAGTAATACTCTGTATCCTTGGACGAGGGGCTCGCTAGAACAAAGATGATTTCTTCTGTCAGACTGGGGCTGTCTGAAGACAGAGGCCGTGTCTTTACCCTCAGACAGGAAACTCCACCAGCACAGGCTGTACCTGGTGGGTGCACTGTGCAGACGTCCACCTAATGGCTGAGAAGTGCTTCCTGCAGTTCGTAGGATTTATACCCATCTCTTGTGTAATGCCTCCTGCTAACAGGGGCTTGCAAACATAATATGCCACTCATTGGGATAAAAATGAGCCAATGAGGGCAGGCCTGCTCCTTGCTATATGGAATGATGTGTATGTCGGCCTGCCCTGAGTCAGCCTTAACAGGCTAGAGACACTGACTTTGAGCCTCAGACACACTCACAGCTTGGGGATTTAATCTCTGCTTTTCCTCCCATGAATACAGAGTGGGATGTGGTACCAGTCCCAGTCTGGTATCTATGGGTCCCTGGATCTCTGCCGCCAATGATCCTGATGGCCTCTAAGTTTGACTCGGGAATTTGAGGTCAGTCGCCCAGCTCCATCCTTCCTTCTGGACTTGGGTGTGCCAGGTAGATGAGTCAGTGCAGGGTGGGGGCCTGAGAGGGTGGCCCCATTTCCTTTTCAGCCCCCTCAACCAATAATACAAGTTCAAGGAGCTCATCTCTGCTGTTCAGACCATTGAGTTGATGCCTTGAAGCCTCCGGAACAGCTGTGGGAGCCAAGAATCATTACCGAAGACAAAGAGTGGAGAGCAGACTCAATATCTAAGTTATTACCAAGCTGGCCTTGAGAGGCCGGGGCTGTGCCAAGCTCAGGTGCGGAGGGGGATGCGGGGATGCGCCCAGCTGGCAGACTGGCTGGAGGGCCTTGCTGGGCTTCTCAGAGAGCCCGTATTCTGCCAGGTGCTTCAGAGAAGGGTGGGGGCAAGTACTGGGGACGACGGCCCCATGTCTGCCCCAAGGAGAGAACAGAACCTGCCACTGCTTTTCCTGCTGTCATTAGCTGTCACACATCATCTCCATGTCTGGGATCCAGACTCAGCCAGCTTCGCAGAGATCTCTGCCACTTTCTGGCGGGTCACCTAGACTGTCTGAGTCTCTGCTTCTGTGGCTCTAATAAGGAGCTATTAATAGCCATCGTCCTCTATGCCCACCCCTTAGGCACAGCTGCTCATGGGTCCCCTCAGC